GTGATAAGATTATTTATTAGTTGAATAAGATTATTGTTCGGGTTGACTTTACTCCGACTGTACATACAGTAGTATAGATATATGTTATTCTGTCTAGTACTGTACCCGGAGCTTAAAACCAAGTTTCACTTAAGTACCTAAACTTCACAATAATTCACTTGTTTTAAAACTTGAGGTTACCCTGGTACTGGTTTGACTCCAGGTCTGTATATATATACAGGGAAGTATAACTAGAGTGTGAGAGTACTGTGTCCCTACACTATACTGTCTCTCATCGATCCGATTCAGAGGACTACAAGGATGCGCACACTGGTAGAAAGCATTCTTCCTGAATCTCCAACTTTACTTTAGCAAAACTACTGCCTATGGACCTAGTTTAGATATTGACCCTTCCTTAATTCTAATCTTGGTATTTGAGAAATCAAGTTTTCTCTTCCGCTTTTCTTCAAGTATGAAGAAATAAAGTCTATAGTTGATAGAACGGAGCGGGTAAGGATAGAGGAAAATTATCTTTTATTGGGTCGACATGCCAAAAATTTCCGGACAGAGATTCTTCTAGTTGTTCTGGCCGTCTCATCCTACACTTTAATACAACCAACTTAAAACTTTTATATTTTATTAAAACATTAGAACGTAAAGAGAGAGAGAGAATAAACTTTGTTAAGATGAATGAAACGGATATTATCAATTCTATTGTTGGTTGAATGATAAATTGATTTGACCAACCTTACTCAAGAGACTCAAGGGTTTATTAATAAGTTAAACCGTGCTCTAGGATGTGCATTAATATGCTTGAACCTTACTCCGGGGTGAATATTAATATCTTTAAACCATAGTTCATGATTATGCACTTGAATCATACTCTAGGGTGTATATTGATACACTTGAACCATACTCTAGGATGTATATTGATATACTTGAACCATGTATGTAGTTTAATATACTTGAACCATGACTCTAGGATGTATATTGATATACATAAATCATATTCTAGGATGTATATTGATATATTTAAACCATACTCTAGGATGTATATTGATATACTTAAATAATACTCTAGGATGTATGAATTGATATATTTAAACCATACTCTAGGATGTATATTGATATACTTGAACCATACTCTAGGATGTATATTGATATACTTAAATAATACTCTTGGATGTATATTGATATAATTAAACAATACTCTAGGATGTATATTGATATAATTAAACCATACTCTAGAAAGTATATTGATATACTAGAACCATTTACTCTAGGATGTATATTGATATACTTGAGCCATAATCGAGAATGCATATTGATATACTTAAATCATAATCTAGGATGTATATTGATATACTAGAACCATATACTCTAGGATACTGAAATATACTGAGATAATACTTAAATAATACTCTTGGATGTACATTGATATAATTAAACAATACTCTAGGATGTATATTGATATACTTAAACCATAATCTAGGATGTATATTGATATACTTGAACCATGACTCTAAGATGTATATTGATATACTTAAACCATGTATGTAGTTTAATATACTTGAACCATGACTCTACGATGTATATTGATATACTTGAACCATGCCTCTAGGATGTATGAATTGATATACTTGAACCATGACTCTAGGATGTATGAATTGATAAACTTGAACCATGACTCTAGGATGTATATAGATATACTTGAACCATGACTCTAGGATATATATATTGATATACTTGAACCATGACTCTAGGATGTATGAATTGATATATTTGAACCATGACTCTAGAATGTATATTGATATACTTGAACCATGACTCTAGGATATATATATTGATATGCTTGAACCATGACTCTAGGATGTATGAATTGATATACTTGAACCATGACTCTAGGATGTATATATTGATATGCTTGAACCATGCATATATTGATATGCTTGAACCATGACTCTAGGATATATATTGATATACTTGAACCATGACTCTAGGATGTATGAATTGATATACTTGAACCATGACTCTAGGATGTATATAGATATACTTGAACCATGACTCTAGGAAACTTGAAATCATAACTCCTCTTATTTAAGATCTATTGAGAAGAACAAATATGTTTTGAATTTCTAATATGTAACCGAATAAATTTTGCTTTTAACATTACTTGTGCGCAACATCAAAACTAGAGGATCTACGAGATCACAAAGTCAAACCAGTGATTTTACCTTTAAACCTTGAATGTACAACGTACTTTGTTATACTTGGACTGTCCATGATCTACGATGTACATTGTACATTGGTACAAGACTTGGAGCCATACCCCAGGTTGTAATCATTAATTTTTCATCATGAATTTAACAAAAACTTTCTGAGCCACTAACCATTTTCTCACGAGAGAGAGAAGAATGGATTAAAACGCGGATAAAAAATGGCAAATCTCTAGATATTAATAATTATAATATCCTGATTAGGATCCTGGGTGTAAGCAGGCGGGCAACTAGACATTTTGTTAGGGGGGGGGGGCAAGAGGGAAATGCCTTTCATTAAAAAATCATGATTTTACATCACACAATATTTGCGGTGAACATGTAGGATTAATTTAATAGTCGTACTACATTAATCGATTGAACAGTGAACTATATTTTTTTGCGATCAGAGCTCTTAAATTTGCTCCCCCTACAGGGGGGTGGCATTGTTATCTTTGAAAATATTTGGGTATTATATCTTACAGATCAATTCTTTTGAAAAAAATTATAATATTTGAAAATTCTAGCCATCCAAGGCCAAAAAGTGGCTTTTATTTAAATTTCAGGCGGAGACATCTACTGGCAAAACTCAGAAGGTCCTAATTCGACCTAATACGACCTAAATCCGACTTGAGGGCACTGGTTAGGTTGTGACCAGTTATGACCAGTTTGGTAATCCAACCACGCAAGACCCAATCTGACTAAAAGGTCAAGTTATGAACAGTTAGGAACTTAGGACCAGCTAGGTAAAGCAACCAAGTCCGACCTAATCCAACCCAATCCAGTTAGGTCTCTTGACATAACTCAACCAATCTCGACCAAATCCGACCTAAGTGGATTGGTCAAGTTAAGACTAGTATGAGACCAGTTAGGTAACTCAACCTAACCCGACCTAACCTGACCAAAAACAACCTAGGGGGACTGGTCATGTTCCAACCAGTTAGGTCTCCTGACTTAAATCAACCGATCTCGAGCAAATCCGACCTAAGTGGATTGGTCAAGTTAAGACTAGTATGAGACCAGTTAGGTAACTCAACCTAACCCGACCTAACCTGACCAATAACAACCTAGGGGGACTGGTCATGCTCCAACCAGTTAGGTCTCCTGACATAACTCAACCAATCACGACCAAATCCGACCTATAAAATGGATTGGTCAGGTTAAGACCAGTATGAGACCAGTTAGGTAACTCAACCTAACCCGACCTAACCTGACCAAACACGACCTAGAAGGACTGGTCATGTTCCGACCAGTTAGGTCTCCTGACATAACACAACCAATCTCGACCAAATCCGAACTTATAGGTGGATTTGTGACTTGTCAGGTTAAGACCAGTCAGACCATATTAAAGTATCTTCTGGAAAACAAGTTACAGTAAACTTTTAGGTTAGTCTACAGAAAAGGGGGGGGGGTCAAAAGATACTCTCCGCCCCCCCCCCTGGATCCGCGCCTGGGTAAACTAAAGTATTGCAATGATGATTACATCAAGTTGGAATCTGTGAAGCCATGAGAATGATGGTGCATTAACAAAACGCAAAGAACGCTTTAAAATATTGGAAAGGAATGAACAAGAACGAAATGGAACAGAAAAAATATCAGCTTAAAAGAACATTTAATATCAGGAAAGCTTTCTTTATCAGGAATGCATTTTCAATCAGAGTGTTCTAAATCATGTCTAGAGATAATTAAAAGCCCCCCCCCTTCCCAGAAGGTAAGGGAGATTTAGAGTGAAAGAAATTGTTTTCTATATTCATATATTTTTTTTAATATTATTGAAGTATTGATTCTGCAAAAATTAATCATTTTTTAAAAATCTACAAATTGTAAACCCCCCCTTTCTTAAGATAAACCTGGATTAAGCTTAGCACTTATACACCCATATCATACATTTTAAGGATTTTAAGACCCCCACCCCTCCCCCAGCTTCAAATTTCTATGCAGATCTTATCCTTTTAACCCTAAATTTAAAACATATAGTTTTATTATAAAATCGTCATTTTTTAATTGTTAAGCAACCTCTTTTCTACAAAACTTTTGTCTTAGACACCTCAAAAGTTACCCCCTCCCCCCTCCTATCTTCTGGACTAAGTTAACTGAAGGGCAAGGGGGATTGAAACCCGGTCTTGACTATAAGAACAGAATGGGGAGATGGAACAGTTCTTTGACTAAGAATTCATCAAGAACGAATGGAACGGGATGATGTTCAATTGGAAGAACAGAACGGAACAGAAGGATCGAACGGAACGATTGGGAAAAAAGGAACAAGAACAGAAGGATCTAGCTGAAGGCCCTCGTTCTAGAATGGAATGGAACGATTTCAAAAAAGTTGGTTTGTAACCATGCTCTATACATAGAACCACGGCCAGAAAAATTCTATGGTTTTCGCTATAATTATTAAAGAAGATTAAAGTTCTATGATATTTTCAGCATTACACCAGGAATATCTAAAAATGTGCATATAGAAAAAGGTGAACATTTTCAAAGACATTCAACTCAAAAACTTTATAATTCAATTAAAACTTTTTTGTTTTATTTCCAAACATTCAATATTTCAGTTATGCAATGCCCTATAGTTTTATCTTGGAGAATTGACACTGTAAAAAATAACTCTGGAAGGACGAGGATTTCGAGGTGGCTCGGACGAGAAAATGAAGAGTATGTGGCTTTAGACGAGACATTTTTGTGTAGCTTGCCTTCCTCCCCTCTTCGGAATGGAAGTCGCTGTAGTAGAGGGTTTGGTTTGGTCGGATTATTAGTTTAATGTAGTCCCATCATTTCTCTCAGTCTCAGCCTGAGAGTTGAGTTAGCAGACAGCACTAGCTAGTAGCAGCAGCAGTATCAGACTGATCACAGACTCTACAATACGGCTTTTAACAATAAACACAGATTAAGACTGATCAGATTATCAGTCATAGACATGGGTACGGACTATTTGGTTACAGACGTGAGCCCATATACGAGTTAGTTCGGTTATAGTCACTGCAATATAGGGTCTGTCCTAGTATACGATTTTTGGACCCCCCCCCAGGCCCCCCTCCAGTAATATTGTACCATACCCCCATGGATTTTCATGATTTTATCTCGCTGATGTATTTTTTTTCGACGCTACTTCCTGAAACCGCGGTTTTGACAGGATCTTCTTTTTATTTACTTTTATGAAGATTATTTTAAAGTTGAAAAATAAGGTTTCCGATTTCTTTTGATCCATTTTTTTGACAATTCCTAGGCTGAGCGCCGCGGCAGGACAGGCTGGGGGTTTACCATGATTATTGATTAATTATGGAAAGGTGAAAAGGGTAGTTCGGTAATTTCTGGACCCCCCCCCGGCCTCCCTCGGGGCACCCCTCCCCCCTTCTATAAAATTTGTACATGGATCTCACATGTAACATATGGATATAATTGGTTATGCGGCCGCAGCGCCCGGCCCCCTAGCCTGTCCTAGCTGCAGCACTCGGCCTCCTAGCCTGTCCTAGCTGCAGCATCTACCCAGAAATTTCCGTAGCCTAACTTAACCCTGAAACAGTATAAAATAAATAATAATAAGTTAGCTCAAAATTAGTGGTCTTATACAAAATTGATAGGAGGGGGGAGGGGGGACCCATTGGCGCGTTATAGTAACAATCCTATTTAAAAAATTTTGATTTCAGAAGTGAATACAGACTAGAGATTAAAGTTGCATTTGGAAGTCGTACACTTATCAGCTGGAGCAGAACTATGTGTCGCCAGAAGTCCTAGAGACGTCAATACTAGTAAACGTTTAGTAGAACCATGAGTAAAGTAGAACCAGGAGGAAAGGGGTTCCCGGAGCAAGGTAGACCTGAATCAAAACCCACTTTGAAGAAGACTCCGGAGGGGTTGGTTCGAATGAGAGCTCAGGCTGAGAAGGATGTTATTAACATTCTGTGGTTCCGTAATGGATTAAGACTCCATGATAACGGAAGTCTCCATAACGCTACTGAAGATAAAACGGTAATATCCTTTTTTCGGATTTGGGCAGATTTTTTTCCGGTCCCGGTATGTTTTTCTGAATAATAGCAACCTCATGTGATTATACTTTTTCATTTTAATGAGTTTGAGCTACGTAATGAACTACCTACTACTGCCAGTTGAAATTTGAACCACCGATTCAAGCTAAAGATTAAGGAAGGATTTGAATCGGTGATTAAAATTTAAACCGGCGCTAGGCAATTCAAATTCAATCCCTGGTTAGTTTAGGTCAAGATAGATAGGTATAGTTACGATAGGTTGCTCTTTTTTAGTAGAAGACGGTGCAGATAAATATTCTTTGTTCCTCTTTAACATTTCATTTTTATAAATCTTTCCTTTAATTTTGATAAACTTTATTGTCAGGCTAAGCTACTTCCAGTCTTTATATTTGACGGCGAGACACCTGTAACGAAGGAATGTGAGTACAACAAGATGAAGTTCCTCCTGGAGTGTTTAGAAGATCTTAATGAACAGTTTATTGAAGCTGGGGCCAAGCTCTACTGTATTCAGTAAGTTAATTAATTTTTGAACTTGTTTAAATTGTCATTTTTAGTTAAAAACAGTGCTTAGGATCCGATCCATTTCATTTTGATGTGGATCCGGATCCTGGATTCGCCCTGAAAGGATCCGAATCCGGATCCAGGTCATAAACATTTCTTTAAGATTTACTGATTTTTCAAATTTTCTTTTCTTTTTATCCTATATCTGATAAACTGTTCAGAGGTAATCTCTCTTTTCAACAGTTCACCAAGATCCGGATCCTAAGCACTGTTTATGAAGTTTATATTATTTCATCTTCTTATGTAATTTGTTATTTATTTAAATAGTCCAAAGTATTTCTAATTGAGGGCATAAAATATTTCCTACAGTGCCCGGTGCCCTTTTAATTCTGCGATTAAAAAGGATACCTCAAAACTTTGGAATCACCAATGTGTAAGTTTTCAAAAATGGCAGAACTGATATTTTCTGAAAATTCTCACAATTTCTTTTCATCTTTCCTCGGGTTTGGTTTTATAAGAATAACTGCTAGGTTTGTTTTAATTCTATAAATACTATATAAGTTCTAAATGATATCTGGAAATCTGGTTCGGTAAAAATATCACTGTTAGTTATGTATTTCTCCACCCCCTCCCATCTTTTTATATCATTAAAAAACATGTTACGGAACCTGCATAATTGACTTTACTAGTAGATAAAATCAAATTTTCCTCTGTAAATCAGGAATTCCAGGTCTTTTGTTAAGATCATCGACAAGTTTAAAATAAAAATAGAAATCATTAATTTCATTTGCAAACATTGTTGAATTTAAATATTTTTCCTTTACTTATAAAGTGAACTAAAGGATACTTTATAAAAAAATAAATGAAGCTTTAAAATAAATGCGATTACGTTAACACTCTCTTAAAAATAAATGTCCAGGGGAAATCCTGAGGAGGTGCTTCGGAAGTTGAAGCATCGAGTTCAGATAAACCGGGTCTGCTTCGACCAGGATTGTGAAGCGATCTGGCTTGAGAGAGATAATAATATCAGGAACTACTGTGTTTCACACAAGGTTTATATATAACATATCACATTTTGTTGGGAAATTTGAATTTGTATAACAAATATTTAGATTGTTTAATTTCCCATTATTTTATAAAACCTCTAAATATCGATATTTTATCCGAATACATTTTTTATTTATTTTCTCAAAATTTTTTTCTAAAAAATATATTTCTTTGAATGATGTAGTTACATAGACATTAATATTCTTGATTTTATCCAATCTTGCATTAATCGCATAATAAAAAGAACTTAAACTTTTTCAGATTGAAGTATTTGAACACATCGGAGCAACTCTCTGGGACCCTTTAGAGATTATAGAGGCTAACGGTGGAACCCCGCCCCTCACCTACTCACACTTCTGTCACGTGACCAAGGGTATCGGAGAACCAAAGAGACCCTTGCCCAACATCGACCTCAGCACGGTCAGCTTCTACGAGATTCCTGATTCTATTCTGGCAGAACTGAAAACCTTCCCCGGGGTTCCGACTCCAGAGGATCTTGGGTTTTACAAAGGAGACGAGGAAAAAATATACAAGGTTATAAACAGTATGATTTGTTGAGTTTAAGTGATTTTTTTAACTTAAATACGTTCAGGGCGGAGAAAGAACGGCGTTGAAATATTTCAACCGTCGAATGGCGGTGGAAAAGGAGGCTTTTCTTGATGGATCATTTCTGCCAAACCGTCGTGATCCTGATATCCTCAATCCGCCAAAATCTCTTTCTCCCGATCTCAAGTTCGGATGTATCAGTGTTAAACTGTTCTATTGGTCCACAATAGATGCGTTTAACCAGGTATTCGGATATTATTTAAACTATTAATATACTCCGCAGTATAAGGGGGGGGGGGGCTTACAGTCCCTTTAATTATGAATTAGCTGACAAGATTCATCAACATTTTGTCTTGCAAAATATAATGAAACACACAGAGTCTGAGGTGTCTTAGTATTTTTTTATATCCAACCTTTATATGAGATTTTTTAAGGGGTTATATCTTCTTGAAATCTTAAAAATATACACCCCTGTATTTTTTTCAAAACTATTTGATAGTATAAGACTTGCAAAACTTTTCAACAAAAGAAAGAATAAACTGGATTTTGTTTCAAGGTAAATGAGAAGAAGTCCTCCTCCTATTTGATCGTATCCCAGCTAATTTGGCGGGAGTTCTACTACGCAATGTCCGCCAACAATCCTTTTTTTGCGGAAATGGAACGGAATCCAGTCTGTATCAACATACCATGGAAAGAGGATGAGCAGGTATCAGAAAACTGAAAGAAATCGAAAAGTTTAGTTTTAGATTTGAAAATTATTTGTTTTCTTGTTCGGCTCAGGGTAAGTTAGGTCTTAAACTCGTTGAAATAAAAAAATGATTTCTAATATAAGGTTAGATATTAGGAGAAAAAGAACCAGAGCTGAAAACTTAAGATTGTGATATCCTTAATCCCGATCGGTTAATTAATCTTGAGATTAATAACAAGAGGAGAACAAGCATTATTTAATCTTGAGATTAAGAAAAAGAGAGGATCAAGCATTAATCCCGATATCCACCATTCAAAAGTTCCCAGCTCAGGGATAATATTACGGATATAGAAAGACAAATAGATCTAGAAACAAAAGATAAATATCTAGATGATTATCAATCTCTTGTAAAGCGGTCGGGAAGAAAGTTGATAAAAAACTGATAAAATATTAATAATGTATGCAAATAAAGTTATAATTTTGAGACACAATCATCTAAATACGTTATACAATCCTTTAATACCTTCAGTTAATTCTTCTTCAATCTTAACAAAATTGCCGCCGTAATTTTTTTTGTTCTCCAAATCTCAAGGAAATCTCTAACTAAGGCTCTGGAGAAGTTTAACGCTGCAAGGACGGGATACCCGTTTATTGATGCTGGTATACGTCAGCTAAAGAAGGAAGGATGGATCCATCATGTGCTCAGAAATGCGCTCAGGTATTTATGTCCGGGAGTATATATTTTCAAGTTTCGCCTTCCACCCCTGGTGGGGGGGGAGTATTTTCGATATTCGAAAGGAAAAATGAAAAATCGGACGATAACTATTATGTTTTTTATATATTTTACTCGAAAATTCATTTATTTTCCCTCATTCAGCTCATAAAACCCTTAAAAAAATTACACTCCACTCAAATATACTATACTTACTATCTGGGAGTTTTTTCTAAAGTCTCATTCTTTGTAGGCAGCCCTGTACATATTGTTTCAGGGAAATTAAATATTATTTTTCATTTCATTTCATTTCATGCTAATTTTCCTACAATATCTAATTTGACATTTTTTTCCCAACTCTTCACTTACAATATAGACTAATTTTCTTTCAATATTTTCTCTTAACATCATTCTTCATTAAAGCAAACGTATTTTCATCCAAAGCTTGGTAACATACAGAGATATCTTTACAGAGCATTCTTTTTATGCTCTCCTAAAATTATTTTCTTGAATTGAAGAATACATTTTTTCTTTAATCTTTCTCTCTCCCCACATATAAATTATTCATCAGTATATTAAAAATTTCCTTGAAAACCTTGGTTACGAATTAAAAAAATATTTTCGCTTTGAATGGACATTTTCTTAAATCGTTGATGTTCTTTATATGTGAACCTAAGGGAAATTAGGAAAAAACAGGAGTGGGATTAAGAAAATTAAGAGTAAGAGTGGTAGGTTGGGAAAAACAGAAGTGGGATAGCAGAAAAACAGGAGTGTGAGGTTGGGGAAAAACAGAAGTGGTAGGTTGGGAAAAACAGATGTAGGAGAGTAGAAAAACTGGAGCGGGAGCTTAGGAAAACAGAAGTTGGAGATTAGATAAAACAAATGTGGGAGGTTGGGAAATACAGAGATGGGAAATAAAACAGGAGCGGGAGATTAGGTAAACAGAAGTGGTAGGTTGGGAAAACCAGATATAGGGGATGAAACAGGAGTGGGGGGTTATAAAATAAAACAGTAGTTGAGGTCAGATAAAAATCCTTTCAGCATGTTCCTGACCCGTGGTGACCTATGGTTGAACTGGGTGCACGGAGAGAAACTGTTCCGAACCTACCTAATCGACGGGGACTGGGCGGTGAATGCGGGAAACTGGTTGTGGGTTTCCAGCTCAGCATTCGAGAAATCTCTCAACTACAGGTTTAAAATATGTTCAGTATTCACCCCTCGTGGAGTTAAGCATTACTTAAATCCTCAATTTGGCTGTTATACATTGCAGTTACTATTTATTTTTTATTATTTACTATAATAGAATTTTCTCTCTTTCTCTAATATTCATATTTCAAATAACTCCCACTTTCCCTTACACATTACACAATACACATACTTTTTTCATATTTTTATCTCTAATTCAATTAAATTCCATAATTTTGGAAATAAAGCGGAGAGATAACATTCTAGCGTTTTAAAGAGAACCCGTTCAAGTTTATATGATTTTGTTCTGTTTGTTTCAGCTAAAGAATTAAACATATCATGGAAGGAAGTTGGAAGGTTTTCATAAAAGTATTTATGTATAAAAGATAGAACAACTTCCAGTTGATTTTAGACTTTAAAAGTTTTTTGTCTTAGTTTATTTTTTAGAAATGCAGATTTATTTTTTGAAAATGAAGATTTAAAAAATTAATTCTTAGCCACAAACTCAAATTTTCAAAACCCGATATCTTATGGTCTAAACCTTTGATATTTAAATCTTGGATAAGTGCTGAAGTTGATTCATAATTGTGGGTCAATCCCGAAATGTTAGATTTAATTCTTCAAACAAAAAATTCTCGTTTTATAAATGTAAAACTAAAAACTCCCGAGGAGAAGAAGATAATTTGGTCAAATTGCAGAAAATAAATGTTTAATTTGTTTAGTTACAGCCTAGACCCCAGGGTTTATGGAAGGCACGTGGATTCTCATGGAAAGTACATTAAACGGTAATTATCTTAAATAACCAATACTCGGTTGAAATTCAAGAAAATTGCATGGTTCAAGAATTCGGTTTACCTGTCGACAGACACATATCAACTGGTTTAAAGGGTTTAAATCAACCATGAACATATCAACCAGGCTTAAGCGGATGAAGAAAAAAAATTTAGAAGACAACATAAGACTCAATTGTGTTTTTGTTTTGTCTCTTTTGTTCAGTTAACAAAAAAACAGACTTTTCTACAGTATGTCTAATTTACAACGCGTGCATATGTTTCATAAGACGATCAATCACAATTTTTCATTTCTGTCACGTTTTTTTTTTCTATTGGACTTACTCATTTTTTTAAACGTGACTCTGGCCTCCTTCTCCTCCATTCTTTCGGATCCTCCACGTGGGTTCTTAATCCTCAAGTAAATTAATTTCAATATTTTTTAGATATATCCCTGAGCTGGCTAATTATCCTGTAGAATACATATATACACCTTGGAAAGCCCCGCTAGAAATACAGAAGAAAGCTGGATGCATTATCGGAAAGGTAATAAAGAAAAGGCATTATTTAACCATTAATCCTACTCCTTAAAAAGAAACCCCCATGATAAAAAGAAAGTTTGCGCGATCTGCTATAAAATATTTGAGGGAAATATAGTGAAGTAGGTTAAAAAGCTACAAGGCTGCCTTAGCTCACATTTCTCATTGTTTTGTTTTGACTTTTCCCCAAAGCTTCAAAAATTATCTTCCCCCTTAAAAACTGGCATGAATATTGTACATATTGTCGTGTTTAGTACTATATATTTTGTCTGAAATAGAATATGAATATAAAATTCAAACTTCCCAAATCAGCTTTTTACCTACAAATAATTTTTAAATGGCGCAGCTGGGACCGGTAGATTGATAAGTTGCCCTATAAAGAGTAAATACATTGTTGAAAGACACGAATTGTCCAACCTGATGTTATAAAAGAACTGTAAGCGTAATTTCAAGTGCCCCTTGATGCAAAGATGACAATTCAAGATTCTCAACGGTGCCCTTAAACACTTTGTCTGATTAAGTATGAATTCAATATCATTGTTTGTAATTTTGAAACCAGCTTATATTCAATTGTTGAAACCATATAGAAGTTACTTGCACACTTCTACTGCAGGAAATCAGATGATCAGAATTTAAAGCTGTAAACCTAGAAAAACTAAAATATCTTTCACATTATTAATCAGATAGACGGTTTTAATGGTACCGTTGTGAATCGGACATTGCAATCTATGCAGGATGTTCACTTGAAACAGTCCTTTTTAAAAGTCCCGTAATTAAATTTCTCTCAGATTGTCGTATCTGGCCGAACACGTGAAAACCTCTATTCTCTCCAATCATCCTTATAGAGCGGGAAAATTTTACCTCAAAACGTGTCTTTAATCACTTTTCATATTCCCTCACCTCAGCCAACACGTGTTTTATAACATGGATAAAAATAAATTGATTTTAGAATTTAATAAACGCTCTTGCATAATTTAATTATTTTCTTACACAATTTACAATAGAATTATCCCAATTATCCATCCAATTTATTTTAATTTTTTTTCTATCGAAAAACACCATATTTTTTCGGCTATGCTTTATAAATTAAATGTATGAACATGAATTAACATATCCATCTTTTATTTTTTACTTTTTACCGTTGGTTAGTTCCTAATAAAATTTTTACGGCTGAACCGATTTGGTTTAAATTTTTTGTGAAGTCTCCTCGTCCTATTCTATATGTGTTAATGGCCAGTCAAGGATAAAAAGTTTCTACTTATACATAAATTAAAATAAAATCACCTGCATGGCAAGTTAAGTGCGAAATTTAAAACTTTTTTTCGATTATAAATGGAATAAATGTTTAAAAAATAATAAATTTAAAGCAATTTGTAAGTTTTTTTCCCGTGAATTTTCCCACGAATTATTTTAATATACTTCATATTACTGAAATTTGTATTCCTTCCATTACAGATAACAATATTTTTATAAAAAAAAATTATGGAATAATTTAAATTTTCTATTTTGTAGAAATAATTTGTTCTATTTAGGATTACCCGGAGCCGATGATAGATCACGACGAAGCTGTTGCGCAAAACCGTCAGGAAACCTTAAAATCTTAATATTTTTCCACATTCTTCTTTTAGAAATTTTTCACAATCAATTCTCCAAAAATCATGTATTTTTATTCTCACGGATATTTTTCTCAATTTTAGTATTTCTACTGCATTTTATTCGCTGTCTTACTGATATTTAGATTTTTTCTTTCTTTTCCTTTTGCGCTTTTATTAAGATTTCCTTCTTGTTTTCCTTTCATTCTGTTGTTCTTTTCGCGTTCCCATTCCTTTACTTTCAATTGCCTACTCCCTTTTTCCTGCTCATTCATTCTCTTTTGTTTTTGTCCTTTTTCTTTCCATTCCTATTCTTAATTCTTTTCCCATTCCTCTCTGTTCCTTTCATTTAATTCCTTCTTTTCCTTTTCTTTCCTGTTCTTAATTCTTTTCCCTTTTCATTTTTGTTCTTTCAGTCCTTGCCTACCCTTGCTCATTCAACTCTTTCTTTCTTTTTCCCATTCCTATTCGTAATAATATTCCCATTTCTTTCTGTTCTTTTCATTTTTTCCCTTCCTTACTCATTCTACTCAGTCTTTCTCCTTATCATTCCTGTTCTTAATTCTCTTCTCATTCCGTTTCTGTTCCTTTCATTTATTCCCTTCCCTTACTCATTCTCTTGTCCCCTCTCTGCTTAGCCAATTCTCTTTCTACTTTTTCCTTACTGCTCGAGTAATTCCTCCATCCCGTTTCATTTTAACACTTTCTATTCTCTCTCCCGTTTCCTCCCTGCTCTAATTTCCTGATTCTTATTCTCGCTTCTTTAAAATATCTTCATAAATTCTCCCTATTTGCTTCAGGTAATAGCTCGTACCAAGTCAATAGATATATTTTCAAATATTATTCATTTGGTTTCTTTAGTTCTCTATCTTGTTCTCTGGTCAGCATTGTGTTTTAATATTTAATAAAAAAAGAGAAACCATTCAAGTGAAAGAATCTGTTTATTCCTTCTAGATTTTCGTTGTGAAATCTTATAAATAACTTTATAAATTTTACAAGTACTAGACTATTAGGACGCTTCGCGTCCATCTTCCATTTCCATTGTGAACATGTTCTCTCTGTGTACATAGTAAAACAAAAACAAAACAAAAAATTCGTGGATTTCATAAAAAAAGGAATCTCAAATTTTTTAATTTCTATATCTTTGCAACCTGTGAGTATAAACCTTTGATATTTCAAACTTAGATTATTTGGTCTAACAGAAGGAATAGTTTGAAATATCTTAAGGTCTACTACATTGGGTTTTCAAGATGTAGGGATAAGAATATTTGAGTTTGTGACAAAAACTTTATTTCTTTCGGGGATTTTCAAAATGTTCAAGAATAGAATTTTGATGAGGCAAATTTTGGAAATTCGATCACCATAAACCTTCCACGGGGTCACGCGAGGTCCCACAAAAAAAATTTGGCCCGATCGGTTCAGCCGTTTTGACGTTTATTGGATACAGACTGTCAAACAGACAGACTTTCTACTAGAAAATTGATTCGATATATTTCCTCAAAAATTATGCAAAGAGAAGATGCACAAAAATTAAGATTTGATAATAGATGATGCTGAGCCTTCAGAAGGATCTTCTGACCCAGGAGAAGGGTCAGCCGAACCATGTCAGACCTTCAGGGGACTTAGAGATCAATCTTTTCTTCAGGATTCACGGTAGGAATATTTATTGTTGGACAAGTTGTCTTTTCTCTTTTCTCCGTGGCATTGGAAAGTTCCAGAGGTGCATTGTAATACAAATAAAATTAATTTTTTCCCATTTTTTTCCACCCATGCTTGTTAATAGTCTTCTGGGATAACATAGGGTTTCTTTCTTCTATCTAGCGCTGCCATCACACTTTTACACTTTTTTAAAAAAATTTTCCCTATTCGGTAAAAATTTTCATTTCTGGAAGAAAAAATATAAACACATATAATTTACCAATTTTGCATTTGCTCTATGTTTTGCAACATTTCTCAATCTACTCCACCATTCCTAGCAGCCGTGGTCCTGGATTCTGTGTTAACCTAACGTTATAAGTCTTCTGTAAGCCACTAATGTTTTTTTTGTAACTGCTAAAAAGTGTCCTTACCATAGTCAATGATGCAACTGACAAAATCCCAAATTTCATCTCTGATAAAAAAGATAAAAAAACCTTTTATTTTGCTTTATTCGGGTTATTTTAACCTCTTTCACATGAAATTATAATTGGTAAAATTTGGAAAAAATGTATATATTGGAGTTACTGCCATTTGGGAATTATTCTTGGGAATTAAAAGAATATACATTGTACGGAACCATTATCGATAAGGACGCCTTTTATCGGAAAGCTTTTAATGGAAGTTTCAAAAACAAATTTATTATTTTTATATATTGTTTTTTGTTAAAAAGAGGCTTGAACTTAAATTGTTAACAGTTTTTTAAATTTAATGCTGTAAAATTTAAAAAAAGTTTTTGAAAAGAAATAGTACATAACCAAAAGATATCAATTATGAATAACAAAAAGCTATTTAAAAAATAATATTTTTTCTTAGATTGATGGAAGAAATGAACCCAAGTATATTTCAAGACGCTACTCCTAGGATTTATTGGCAGTTTGTGATTATCCTAAATCACGTTCCAATGAACCTATATTTTTACTTTACAATTGAATATTGAGAGGTCAAGGGCGTATACAGAAATAAATCATGGGGGGGGGGGCAAATTTGAACTGTAAATTCAAAACATTGGGCTTCTTGGATATCAGGCATAAGTCCACATACAGTCCAATTACCTTGCAAGTACTACTTTATCTCTCCTTTAAACAGTACTAGCAGAAAAAACATGTTTCTAAAAAATCGACATTTTATTATATTTTTATGTTAGTATTAAACTAGAAATAGTAAAAGACAGTTTTGAAAAAAAAAAATTCTAAGAGATGGAAAAAAGGACAAAGGTCCAGAAAATAATTTTATGGTGGGGGGGGGGACTGATTACGCCCTTGTGGGAGGAAGTCTCGGGACCGTGTCTGTAAAATGTTTTCGCATGTTGTTTATTGTTTAATCTCAAAGAGAATCTTTATTTTTCAGTGTAAAACTTTTTAAAAGTTCAGAAACATACGATAAATTATTCTTTTTGGTAACAAATTCATAAATATTAAACTGTCCCCAATCGTTGCATACACTTTTTTCCGAATCAATTAAATTCGGAGGGGGGGGGGGGTATTGTTGACCCAGAGGACCTTTTTCTTAATTATAGTTACGCACTGACGCAGTTACAGCATTTTATACCTCAAAAGTAAACCAAGAAACTTTTTACATTGTTTTTGCAAAACAGCAAACTCGCTATTTTTGCAAAAGACCGCACCTGTTATTTTTGCAGTAGACCAAACTGGTTAGTTTTGCTAGACTCCAAACCCGTCATTTTACTAGTCACTAAACTAGTCATTTTTGCTAGAGACAAACTAGTTTTTGTTCGCAGGAGCCCAATTTTTTTTTCTTTTAGAGAACAAACTGGTTATTTTTGCACGAGTTGAGACTGTTTTATGTTGTATGTACCCATGTGATATTAAGTATTATGGAATCTTATATTGAAATAAATGTTACTAGAACGATGCATTTTATCAGAATCACAGTTGTAACTTGTATACAGGAGGGCATTCAGACGGTTAGCCATAACTCATTTTACAGGACAATAGAATAGCACGGACATATTTAGGAATAATTCTTAGGTGTAGTAGCTATCCATTTCTTCTCTTTTGGAAAACGGAGGAAAATTTAAGCAGAAAACCAAAGAATATGGTTCGCTTGAAGAATTTTGAGGAGGAAGACGACATTTCATACAGCATAGATTTCTTAGATCTTGCAAGATACTTCGTATTACATGAATTTTACTAAAGATAAGAATTAAAGTTTTAGTATTTCCAGCTAAATCCACTAGGAACTGATTATTCTTATAAGATATCGGTTCACTCGAGACGCCTTTTCTCTTTTATCTGACATGATGCGCTTTTATCCCTCTGTGGAATTTTTATTTTAAACAATTAGACTGAATCTAACACAAGGCGTCCAAATAAATTGATCGTCTCAGAGTTCCAATATTTGACAAATAGAAGTTTTTCTGCATTAATTGTTCTTTTCAATATGTAGGTTATTTTCTCTTTTTATCTGTTAAATGTGCGGATTTAAGATCGAATGATTTTAAGATATTCTTTACTTCACATAACATTTATATAAATATTTGGTTTGTCTGTCTGTAATCCAATAAAATAATTTTTACTCTGACCAAAGATTGTTTAATCAAACCGATTTTTCATAACAATTGGTAAAACCGTGAATCTCGGGATCAAGCTTCTATCTCCATCTTGTGCAGACCTGTGGATTAATAAAATCCTGTCACCCGGCTGATTGTATCCTCCGGGATCAGAGACTCGTCTCTCAAGTTTAAAAGTTGATCCAGTGTTTAGTGAGATCGATCATCGAGCGCTGTTGATTAGCGTCATTTTACTCAAAAGTTTTGACTTAAGAGAAAACATTTTCCTACTGTAAAATACAGCTAACTGAAAATACAATGAAATATTAGCTACATTCTAATAATCTCAAAAAAGCCGAAATTTATTACTTGTATCAGTTTTAAATTTAATTGAATTGTTAGCAGCTTGAGTTGAAACCACCTTTCATTGTTCGCGAACACTCCCTTGAAACATATAGATATTATCTTCTCATCTTATCCATATACGTATTTAACTTTTGATAGATAATCATGTTACAAGGGTCAGAAGGAGGTGTAAATTGATTTTAATAGACAGGACCCCCCTTCCTTCTTTCAATCCTTTTTTTAAGCACTGTTGAACATTTTTGTCAAATTCCCGGATTTTCTTTCATTTTCTCCGTTCTTTCTCTTGTTTTTGTTGAATAACCGAACTGTTTAAAATCCTTCTCTTGAGCCTAGAAACAGATCAGATTACATCTTTTTACTCTCCCTGCTTTGCGGGTCAGTTCAGAAAATATTTAAAGAGACTGTTCACTTTTTAAATCCGAGGGTTGCAGAATCATTAAGCGGCGAGAACATTCAGGTTTTTCATATTCCTTGGGATGCAGAGATATGGGTACACTGTGAGACCCATGAAACTGTTAAAAGGAAGACGACAGTTAGACTCATTTTATAATTTTAACTACATATTCCAATTAAACAAAGCAATTGTGCAGGCAGACCCTCTTCACTTAATATTTTTAACAAGCAACTGAAAAACTTTTGCCTTGAAAAAAATACAAAAGATTGCAAAAATGTTGACTTCCTATTCCATAATTTCATAAGTTTCTCTATAGTTTACAAACACAAAATTAGCTACTAACAAAGAGACTTATCACGGCCTAAGACTCTTTTAAACCAAGCTTATACTTATACATATACCATCTCCAGTCCATGAAACCATATTATAAAAAAAAACTGAATAAATTGTGTACAGTTGTCTCTGATGTCACGTTCCCCTGAATTAGTATTAATTTGTCCACCAAATTTGAAAAGAACTTATGCACGGAGCATTTCGAATTTTGAAGTTTTTAATACATAACAGAAACTATTTTTATGAAAAATAGCAGTAAGGAGGAACGTAAGTGTTACTTCAAGTTTTTCCTCAAAAAGCTTAGACAATGTACCCTTCTGCAGCGCCATTTTTCCCTTGTACTAGGGGCACCCTCTTCTTAGAATTTATACTTGAAACATTTAAAATGTCAAATAGTCGTAAATATGTTACGAAAAACTGGAGGGTATGACATTCCTCTCTTTCCGAGTTCCATCTAATCCCTAACTACCTATTTATTCTTGACAACTAGGATCAAGTATTTATGTTGGAATTTGAATATTCAGAATTTTGAGGATTTTCTCAAAAAAGAAACATTAACACCTAACACTGGAGACTAGGACAGTTTAGTGCTCATTTGTGTTTCAGGCTTTTCTCTGGAATTGTAAGAGCAATCTCCTACACTTACAATTTACTAGATTTAAAGCGGATTTTGCTGCGATTTCAAGGCTTTTAGAGCGCTTCGTGCCCCTCTTCTAGCAACAACTTCAGCGTTAAAATGTTGTTTTATAAGCGGTTATTTTTTCTTTGGAATTGTAGAACTCAACATTTTGCGGATTTTTCTGAAAAGATTGATAGATTTCTAAGATTAAAAATTCGACATTTTTGCGGGGAAAAAAAGTTTTATTTTTTTCAGACTATAAACCTATAGTTGTGCGAGCAAGAAGCCACAAAAGTTTGGGTTTAATCAGTTTAACTGTTTTACGTTTATTGGATAAAGAACGATAGACAAGCCAAAGGAACTGAGTTTTGCCACAAACTCAATTTTTTTGTCATATTTCTTTGCAACCCAATGTCGTAGATCTTTGTTTTTTAACTATAAATTCTGTTAGATTAAATAATTAAAGTTTGAAATATCGAAGGTTTACACCACCCGGGTGCTGAGATATAGGGATTAGAAAATTTGAGTTTCTGGCAAAAACTGAGTTCCATTATATACAGATGGACTTGATTTTGTTCTTTTATCAAAAATCGGACTACCTTGCTTTTATTATAATTGAGAATAAAAACTTCTCATTTCTAAGGAATTTAACGTTGTAAGATAAGTGATCAATTTAAAGCTTAAAAAGAAGTTAGATATTTATTGTTAAAAAAGTGGAAAAACTTACTCCAACATAAATATGTAACTATTTACTTTATAAGATAAGTATGATCCTACCAGTGCCTTGGATTTTTATATCTACGTAATGTCTGCATGCTCTTAACAATCCGACATTAGCGTTTACTTACTTTCAACTTATTGATTTTAATAATTATTTATATAATTATTAAATTAAATTATATTATCAATAATGTGGAAGATATCGTCGTTTTTTAAAGCTTGACAAGTGTTTACTTCTCAGAATTTACTCCGATTCTGTAGCCATAGAAACCCGCAATTCACTTTAATATGAAACTTCAATTAAAACAACAAGTTCGGAGAAAGAAGAATTAGGATAACTCCATAGTTTTGAATCAGACAAATCTTTAAAAGGTACCGTTGGGTATCGGACATGCGCCTTTCTTAAATAGAGTCAAATGAATTGATCTTTCCTGTCTTTTCAAAGTAACACGAAGTTGGGGTTCTTTTCTCAAAACTGAGAGAATATTATCATCACTCGTCAGGTCTCTAAATTATAACGAACAGCGCACACAACCCAATATTAATTAGAGTAAAGTTTCAGCAATCAATTTATTGAGTTCTAACAGAATAAGAAACATTTATCAATAAAATCTGAACACTAATAAGAGAACTAAGAGTTAAGAAACAAGACAGTCGTTTGTGATTATCCGAACATACAGGATTGAAGATTTTTAACAGGCAGTAGTTGCTTTTAAAAATTGGACTAAGATTTATTATCACAGAAATATGTTATTTCTCTGCTAAAAACAGTCTTTCATTTAGGGTATGAAGATGAAAAATGTATAAATAATGGGTTGTACAGGCAAATCTATGTTTACACAACAATTTTAAAGATTCATACCTTCCTAAAATGACCCCCCGCAAATGGTTGATCGTATGACGAATTAGAATTTATAAAAAATCTACAACTTCAGTTTTTGAGCTACCCTGAGAGGATGAAACTTCAGAGAAGACTGTACGGAATTAAAACTGTATGTTCCTTTTTATTAACAATTCTCTACAACTGTAGACATGTTTCTTTTTGTTGCAGTATCATTAAATAACATTTAATTTAACATTGGAATCAAGTCGTCTTCTTATCTCATCCGTTGTGGTGAACCCTGTACTTAATGGAAGGGGGGAATTTAGGAAAATACTCGAATACAACTGGTATTACATGATGTAAAAGCAATTAATTTGAACACTAAAAACATTTATAACATTTATCAAATCTGTAACATTTAACGAGTCATTTTTTATTATTTCTTTGTGAAAAAAAATCTTATTATAATTAGAGGAGAGAGCTGAGAGAGGTATCTATGTTTTAAAAACTTCCTTTTTTGATCTAAATAACAATATCAAAATGCTTAAATAGGAGCAATTTAGTGATTTAATGTTGGATTTAGGATAAGTATAAATAAATAGGAAAAATTTTAACAATATATTCTTCAATGACCAGGAAATAACAATTGGGGTACGCAGTTTTTTTCTTGGCAAGGGGGAGGGGTATTTATTTACTGTTTTTATAAAAAAAACAGGTACAGATTTCTAAATAGATATTCTTGTAATAAAACGTTTGACACCTTGCCTTCTTGAAAACAATTTACGTTCTTAAAACTTCAATATCATAAAAAAAAATGTGAGAAAACATTTGCTTAACTATTTTTCTAAAATGTGACTATTGTGTTATTCAAATAGAGAAAATTGATCACTACCAAGTTCCAAGTCATTGGAAATAAAACTTAAATCATTTAAAAACTTTGTACACGGCAAAACGTTATTAATTATTATGAACCTAATGATTTCGAAAAAATGATTTGAAATCATTCCATCAAGGTGCTGTGACCGCGATCATCCATTCTGCAGGAAGGTCGAGTCCTATCTGAAAATAAAACTTTATAATTTGGGTTGAAAATATAAAAAAGAAGAGAAATTTACCCCCGGCCCTCCAACTCTCAGATCAATTTAAAATACAGGGGTATATGCCCAGCACCCTTAAAAAAATGGTATACTACTTAAACTTTAAACATCCTGTTCAAAGATATTTTCTTAAAAATGATAGATCGACAAAAGCATTATTATAAAACTTACACATTGGGGAACAATTATTTTTACGGAGTCATGAAAATAAAAACCCCTCTGAAAATGGGCACCCTTAGTTTTTTTAAATGCATGTACAATGTACATATTTGATATCAGGTAGGGGGGGGGGNTGAGTATGTATTTTATGTCTCAGATTATAAAAGATATGTGAATAATGCTCCAACCTGAATTCTTAGAAAAGATGACTGATTGAATATTATTACGCTGATGCTAGGGTAGGACGGGATTGAGAACGTTTTCTTCCAGTTTCCATTCCTCCCTCCGCATCCTGGGTTGGCAGTGCTCGGCTCCGGGATAGTTTTCTCCGGGTCTTAGTTTCAGCTTGGGATTCATCTAATGTATCTTGTACTGTAGAATCAGGTAGATCATAGAAAGGTAAATCAAAAGTTTGAAGATCAGAATTAACTAGGTTTTCCAAGGTAGGTATATCCAGATGATGTATCTGGAGCCGGATATCCTGAAGAACCTGATCTGTATCCATCTCCTGTTCCTCCTGGTGAGGTGTATCCACGACGGTTTCCTCTCTACAAACCTCGAGGTAGGATCCTTCACATATTGTTTCTCCGAACTCTATTCCCATACTCAGCTCCGTCCGTCGGTCTTCTTCTTCAACATCCTGGTTTTCCGGGTCCTCCAGGGGCATAGGACTCTCACAGCTATAATTATGGTCTTCAAGGCTATCCCGTCTTTCCATCCTAGGTCGAACAATATCAGGAGAAGGGCTGGGTTCAGGTATACTCAATAAATTGCTCATCAGGTTTCTCATATACTCCTCCAAGTACTCAACCTTCCGCTCCAGTACCCCGACATGCTCTTCCAGCAGGTCATTGGTTAATATAGTTGACATGAGCAATATCTCCGACGACAAATCTCGTTCCTGAACCGGAACCTTGGACCCGTTCTCTCTGGGATCAAAATCTGCAGGTGACTCTGCATTATTAGGTTCTAAAGAGATCTCCTGATGCTGATTAAACTCCTGCAACGATTCAAAAACTAGTTTACACGGATCACAGTAATATTGCGTAGAAAGATCTTGACAATTGTCTACATGCTTAAAAGCTGCATGGGTCCATAGCGCATTCTCTGAACCAAACTTTCTACTGCAGAGAGAACAATAATATTTATATTTGGATTTACAAATAGGTGTTTCATCGCCGCTAATGCAAAGAGTTGGTTCTGGTTCTATTTGTTTCTCATGGTGTATTTCAAGCACATGTTGGTCATGTTCTGATAAATTTAAAAATTGTTGATTACAGTTACAGCATTGTATTTCTACGGATAAATCTGGGTTCCCTGGATGCTCAAATGATATGTGTGTCCAGGCTGCGTTCTCTGTGAGAAATTTTCGCTCACATTTTACGCAAATAAACTTTTTGCGATTTTTTGGACCCATTTTGTGGCAGTGTATAGTATGTGAGATCAGCTGATTGAAAATCTACGAGGCTACCTGCCAGTGCTCTGGAGTCGGGGAGAGGTCGTGTCAGTACAAGAATTTCAGGCAAACCAGCCAGATCAGGCAAGTCGATACAGTGCAACAAATTCAGGCAAAATGTTCGACCTACTGTACTGCTATACTGCTTTCCTATAACTCTCTCCCGCCAAAACTTGGGCGCAAAGTAGAGGTGAATATAAGGAGGGGGGGGGGTCATATCTTACAATAATACAGATATGTTCAGGGTAGTAACTGAGCGGAGGGAGGGGGCAGGGGCGTACGAGAGCATTTGTGTAGGGGCCCCTTGCCCCCTTAAAAAACCTTTTTTGAACAAATTATTGATACCTTTTTTAACTATTCGATCATATACACACGAGCGGGGGAAGGCAGGCGGCCACGAGCCACCACTATTACCCCTTCCGTGCCACATATAAGGTTTTTTCTCTTCCGGCAGTCATGAGCCACCACTATTTCCCCTTCCGTACCACCACATTTGACTCTTCCGGGCAAAACTACTTATTTAAATGGTATATTAAGGGCCTTTAAAGTGTGATTTTAAAAAATTCAGCAACGTCACGCAAAAAAGCACAACTCAACCCAATTTTTCAATTCTACTTAAGATTAATATTTTGTGTGTTGAATTCTTAAGTTTTACGATGAAATTTTTGACAAATTTGACTGAGTATTGCATCTTGAAATATCACAAAGTCTAATGATTATTTAATTACTGACTCATTATACTAAATCCATCTTAAAATCACTCATTAACCGCATGTCCGACCTTTGAAACCTTCATTTCTTCATCGTTTCGGAAGCAAGAAATGCGTGAGTCACTTTTGTAGAGAAACCAAAAATAAAAATAATCAGTTTTCAATATGGGAAACATGGATATTTAATGCAACATCCATTCCTCAAGGGGGGGGCACGTGTATTATAGAGGGGGCGGGGGGCTCAGCCCCCCTCGTACGCCTCTGGGAGGGGGGAACGATCGCCCGAATTTTTGCTGGATCAGATTCCAGACTCCAGATCAGGGGCGTATTTTCTGGGGGGGGGGGTGGTACCCCTGAGCACCCCCTAGATATGCATCCACTAGGCCCCCTATAGGACCTATAGGGCCATAGGCAGGCTCTAATATATTAAACTTGCATATATATTAAGATTTTTTTCTTTTCTTATCAATTGACAATATCACAATTTGTGGCCATTTTATGATAATTTCTCAAATTCTTTCTTGTACCTTAGTCTAATTTGCAATATTTTTTTTCGCGGGGATCATTTAAAATCCATTTCAGTCTCTCGGAGCAAGATGTTTCACGCAGATTTAAATGATTGATATGATTTAAGATATACAATATAATCAAAAAAAATATATATATTTTTTAAAGGGAGTGACCGGCTATGTAAGGTAGTTGAACTGAGTATGCAGTGTTGTGGAAAACTTCTTTCGGATTCATTTGAGACATATTAAACTTTTTAAAGATCTGTAAATCATGAGTTTGAGCGTACATTCGACTCTAAAAACTCCTACTTTGGGGGTGGATACGTTGATAAAATAAAAATGAATCTTATCATTGAGAATAAGTAATCTTGTTCAATTATTGTTTCTATTTTCACATTATTCTGGTTTCTCATTATTCACAAAGATTTTCGCAGATTTTCTAGAATTATTATTGAAAAGACGACATTTGAAGAATTTGAAAAAATCTGCGAATAAATTCAAATAAGATAAGAAATTCAATTTAATAATGAAAATGAAATAATCGATTTTAGCATTGATTTTTTAAAAAATTTCTTTTGAGAAATATGTTCCTAACCATCTAATTAGATTACTGTATAGTTTTTACTTTATTCTTCGTTGTCTTTTTTTGATAATTTAAAAAAACTAACTCTGGAAACGTATCCACCCCCAAAGTAGGAGTTTTGAACGTCGAATTTGCGCTCAAACTCAGGATTTACAGATCTTTATAAAGATTAATATGTCTCAAATGAATCCGAAATAAGTTTTCCACAACACTGCATACTCAGTTCAACTACCTTACATAGCCGGTCACTCCCTTTTTTTGCTGTATTACTACTAGCTGTAGTTAAAGTAATATTACTGTGAATTATCATGAAATATAAATCCTGACTGCCATGTCTCAAAATAATTTCATCTACAGAAAACTGTGGAAAGGAAAAAGACATATATAGTAATCCTTAATTAGTAACTTAGTACGTATATAGTATACACTACGTAATTGCCGTGTATCATGTTCATTGAACTATTTAAAGTCATACTTGAGTCTAAAAGTCGTCCTCCTATCCTAGAGTTTTCTGGTTCTCACTCTATTTATATACTTCACTTGTCTGTTTGTCCGTTATCCAATAAACGTCAAATCAGTTGAACCGACCGACCGAGCCCAAAATTTGTGAGGCAACTCACATGGCCCAAGGGAAGGTTTAAAACTGGTTTAAAAATTTGTGCGGGAAAAAATATAAATATTATTAATTTTTAATTCACCAATTTAGAGCCTAGTTTTTATAAAATCTTAATTATATGGTTTATAGCCTATTCAATGACCCTCTTAAAAATAAAAACTAATTTGTTCAAAAATAGTGTACCTGTAAAATAGTCATATGATGAACTATAATAATAAGATATTTAATGTATGTCATGAACAAATAAGTTTTAACTTTTAATGTTTTAACATTGCTATGTCTAACACTGTGTTAAAATTTCCGGTTTACGAAATGGAATTTTACGGTTTATGTTACGTAAACCGGAAAAATTTACGGTTTACGTTACGTAAACCGGAAAAATTTCCGTATTATGTTACGCAACACATATCTGGATCATTCATTTTCAAAATTTTGTTCAGGAAAATGAAAACCCTAAGATTAATATAGGTTTTAAGCTTTAATGTTTCTTACTACGTGTTTTTTTTAGGGGGGTGCACATTAACCGATAAGTGGGGGCACAAAAAAAATTCGCTCGTGAGGTTTAGAACCCCAAAAAGGTCTTGGAGGCCCTCGGCTAAGTGGTTTTCCCCTCAATTTAATTATCCTCATGAAAACTCCCGGTTAAGTAGTAATTTATCGTTTAATCTCCTGTTCCTGTTCAACGAAATAACCAACCTTAAATTCCCTCCTTTTTTAATTCCAGGGAGGATAATTACTTATCCTCCCTATTTACAGGGAGGATAATTACTTATCCTCCCTCTGTGATCCATACAGATTTATCAAATAAATAGTTCTCTAATTTAATTTTATATTTACATTTATCACTCTCTTAATCATAAAAAAGGAGGGAATTTAAGGTTGGTTATTTCGTTGAACAGGAGATTAAGTTATTAGTGGTGGCTTTAGTGACTTAAAAGATTCAAATAAACAAGGAAATTTTGCATATGAAGACGACCTAACTCAATCTTAAGTTATTAGTGGTGGCATAAAAGATTTTATTAAACTAGAAAAATTTGCATATGAAGACGACCTATCTCAATCTTAAGTTACTAGCCTTAGAGTGCGCTTTGCGCCCATCTTGTAAATTAATTGTGAACATGTTCTCTTTGTGTACATTGTAAAACAAAACAAAAATAATTCGCGGATTTTCACAAAAAATTTCGTGGATTTTCAAAATTTTCAAAAATTTAATAAAGATCGAATTTTGATGGAGACAAATCTTTGAAATTTTGATTCATTCATAAACCTTCCCTGGGCCCTAGATGTCCCAAAAAAAATTTGGGCCCGATCGGTTCAGCCGTTTTGACGTTTATTGTATACAAACAAACAAACCAACAAACAGACAAACAAACAGACAGACAAGCCAAATTTATATATAGATTAGTGGTGGCTTAAAAGATTTTAATAAACTAGAAAAATTTGCATATGAAGACGACCTAACTCAATCTTAAGTTATTAGTGGTGGCTTAAAAGATTTTAATAAACTAGAAAAAATTGCATCAAGACGATCTAACTCAATCTTAAGTCATTAGTGGTGGCTTAAAAGATTTTAATAAACTAGAAAAATTTGAACATGAAGACGACCTTATTCAATCTTAAGTTATTATTAGTGGCTTAAGAGATTTTAATAAACTAGAAAAATTTATTTTAACATAAGTTCATACATTATGTTAAGGACCACTGTAATTTGAGGACTACTACTTTCTTTTGAATATTAGCTTTATATAAATATAACGCATAATGATCTTTCTAAGCTGCTCAACAATTCTTTAGAAATTTCATAAATCAATTCAAGAAAAAGTTGACAAAGTGGTTTCTTTACTCAACCATTTCTGCATAGTTAGAAGCTTTGTTTAATTTTTTATTTCACAAAATCTCAAGAACTCTTATCTTCTCGTCCCAACAAGTCCCCTTCTTATAAAGTTATGATATACATGTATTTTAAATTTGTAGAAAGGGGAAGGAGTGATAAAGGGGGATAATTTCATCTAGTAGTCTACTCCTATAGTCTAGATGATGAATTTGACAAGACTTTTTTCATAATTTATCTTATATAGACACCCTCTGAGTTTTCTGTAGGAGAGGAAAGCAACCCACACCCGATTTGCCTCCGACCAACGAATGACGTTTTAAAATGGATCATATTTACCCATATCACCCAAACATGTTATTGCCTTTCGGTAAAATGACAATTAAGGGTGTAGGTCGGAAGGGCCTGAGGGTAAGGGTAATGCCGCAAATTCATCTAAAATAAATTTGCGGGTCAGAAGCATAACAGGCGTGGGTTGACTTCCTTCTCTCTGTGTGTAAATGTGTAACAAGTCTGGTTCTGTCAGTTTCCAATATTTTTCATTATCTTCTCATACTTCTTATCCAAACAAAGTTTGGGGTCGGGAAAGCGTTTTTAGAACAGAAACTTTTATTTTATCCATTTTATCCATTTTATACGTTTTATGGGCTAGAAAAAAAAGGTTCTTAAAAGGCTTTTTGTATAAAATAATGTAAAGGAAAAGCTGACTGAAAATTGATTTAAATGGAACGACTTGGGTAACCAAATTTAATCTGCTAATTTGAAAGAAAATGGATGCCAAAAGCTTTAAAAATTACAAAAACCAAATATTTTTGATTAAGGTCGTGAAGGTCAAATGTGATTTTCTTGCAAAAAATTACTTAAAGGGATTTGAAAATTAAATTCACAAAAACTCTAA